GCTTACAACACACTAAGACATAAAATAATGACATCAAGATATGAGAACCATTATGTTAACTAGGCATTTTAAAGATGCCATTTAAAATCTTTTCCTCCATCTGTTGTAATTTGAAGAAAATCTATCATTTAACCAGTGTTGCCTTGCCATTTTCAACTTCTGGTAGATTTACTCAGAGGAGTACATGAGAGACCTCCATTTTTATGAGAAGTCTCAGTGAGAATTATTACTGATAGTACAGAAACAGCCACCCCAAATCAATACAAAACTGCTCTCTGTATTCTTCGGGAGGAACAAAGCACTCAGGAGAGCCAGGTTCTGTGATCAGTGAAAGGTGATGGAATCATCTGAAATGGAAACAAATCTAGAAGAAGAACAGAAGTCTGGGCTATTACTTATCCAAAGGTCAATTGACAGCTTTTCTCATCTTGTTATGTTTTTCTCCTTCCAAAGATGTAGGAAAAAAAATGTTCTTTTAATGTTCTAGGCAGGTACAGAGGCTGAAGGGAAAATAAGGGTAGAACATTTAAGAGCATATTATTCTCTTCAACATTCACTTCTAAGCCAGGAACCTATAGCTTCCAAATGGGCAGCAACTAATGTAGGAGCTAAGCAATAAAACCATCTCTATTCACATCTCCTTCAAGTTTCGACACACTGTAGACAGTATTTAAGAGTAGCAATCCATGGTGATAGGAGAAATCCCCACTATAGAAAGCAAATAAATAGTTTCTAGGCAGCAGATAGCAGTGCAGGGAATTAAGGTCAGAACAGGTGCAGAGAAATCCTGAAGCTAAGGAGTGAAAGTTTGAATTCCATGCTGATGATTTTTAACTAGCTAAGTCAATTATGGGTGACAAAGCATAATTATTGCCTTTACTTAAATTTACACTGTGTGATATACACGTGTATACATATTCACATACACACACAGAACAATTCAAGGCTGCAGAGAAACACTAATTGATTTCTGATGCTTTGATGTGATATGGTTTGCTAAATATCAAAATATATAGTGTACAAAGTATGCATGCCTAATGGTAAGTCTACCAGGCTGTTCTAACATAAAGCTTCCAACACATTGCAGCAGAAACCTGTCATACATAAAATATGAGTATTATGATTGTTAATATAACTACTCAGTCACTAATTTCATCTGGTTCATTCATGCCTTTGCATAACAACGTGCCATTAATATGCAGTCTGTTCTGAATTTGGATAAATTTCAATTCACTCACAGCTAACCTATAAATGTGTTGTTTTGTTCATACATGTACACAAGGCTTCTCTATCTGGATTATACAATTTTCATGGTGCATAGTATGTCCTATCTTATTATGAGAATAATAAAAGTGGCTGTCTAATAAGAACAGTAGTTTTTAGTAATAATGTACATAATGACTAGATTTCCAAAGAGAACAACTCAAAGCCATTTGCAAATCACACATGGGTTGCATGAAATCAATACTCTGCAGAGTAGCTTATTTGCTCACAAGTCTGTTTTCTAAATATGGTTGGAGACAGTTCTAGAATTAGAGAGATCACAAAGCTAATGTCACCTAAAATATGCCCAGTTGTTTATATCACACAGACAACAGGTTAAATAATCATTATGGCATCTGGACTGCATCTTTGATTTACATCATCAAACAGTAAGGCAAATGAGGGGCAGCCCTAATGATAACACCACCTGCTTCTCAGTACCACCTTATAGAAGCTCTCTCATCTACAGGGAAGGCTTGGCCTGAAAATATCTTTTTTTTTTCCCTGCATTTACATTAAGGAGTATAAATGGTCTGAGTTAAGTTTGTTACATTCTTACATCACTCTCAAAGCAGGAAGTTTCTGATTTATGAGTTTAGAGCTGATTATATAATTTCTAATTGGGCAATTTTGATTACTGACAATTATATCCTAACTGGAAGTCAAGAGATGAATGGGAATATGGATGAAGGTCTGGTAGTGACATAAAAGAGAATGGCTCATTCAAAAGTTTTTCTAGATTCTATCACCTAAGGGATCCCATTATGCATAACCACAGGCAATCACAAATGTTTAGATTTGGCAGGTTCCTTTAAGCCACACGATCTATCACCTACCTGGAAAAAACAAAATCAAGTCTCAGACTAATGTTCTTGAATCACTCATTCTGACACTTAAACTCTACCTCCCCACTTCCACCCATATATGCAATGTCCCAGCTTCTAACTTCACTATTCACCTTCTTCTCCAATGCCTCACCTCATCACTAAATCTGAGACTTGGAACCTCATTAACTTCTATAAGGCTACATTACCACAAACATACCAGGAAAAATACTTCCCCTAACTAAGCCCAGGCAGCTTATGTTTCTATGTTCCAATTCATAAAAGAGGATTTATGTAGATACCACTAGTATATATAGGGATGTTCCCATGAATTTGTAGTACAGTACTTGACTTGAGACTCTTCAGCACTGGAGTTCTTCCTGTTTTACTTGTTAATATTTAGACATGGGTCCAGAATTCCTATTTAATGTATTATAAAGTAATACATTAAATAATAATGCATTATAAAATAATATATTAAAGTATTATTATAAAATAATACATTAAATTGCATGTTATGTAATACTGAGAATTTTACAAAGGGTAAATGTAGAAAAAGGTGAAATAGCAGAAAGTATATGTAGAAAGAGGTGGCACAGCAGAAATAATAGTACTTCTAAGAACTGATGCCAATTTTTATCATTTTGAACCATTGTCTATTATAGGCTTCAATGGCATCTGTGAAAGGACTATGGCAAGCATTTTGCTCTCAAAGTATTAAAGTATTACCCAGTTCAAAGACTATGAGTTAAGAATTACATATTCATCTGTATTTTTCTTTTTATCTTACCTGGCAAAAGCCTTAGAGCTAGAGTAAATGTTTATCTTCAGAAAATATGTGGGGGCTTGTTAGTAGGACTACTTGCCATTTTCTGTTTTTATTTCACCAGCCTTATTATAAAATTACCTTTTATTAGAAACCACTTCCTATCTTTTGAAAAGGTATAGGTAATTAGCATTATTTTTAACAGTAACCTCAACCCATGTACAATATTCAAAGGAAGTTACTATCTTAAATATCATCACATATAAGATGTGTTTTCCTACCAAGGAGAAAAGGGAGAAAAATATTAGTATGAAAGTTTCAAATTCAATACAGTAATTTAGATTATAGAAATTATTTGTGTGAACATTTAGATGCTGTCCATGTCCAAGGGTAATGCATTATTGGTATGTTATGCAATACTGAGGATTTTACAAAGAGTAAATTATAGGAACAGAATTGTTTAAATAATCATAGCTAGAAATATCCTAAAAACCAATGTTCAGAATGTGAAAGACCATCAGAAATGGTTCAGTGGGCCTACTTAAATTGTGCAATTATCTTATCTGTTATATATGGATTTATTCTCCCATCGTTTGCTAATTTATATTAATTGTTTGGCTGTAATTATACTGAACTTTCCAGTTTCAATAAAGCTTTATATAAGAAAACTGATCACATGGGGGAGGACAGTGGCACAGAACTGTCACAAAATCAGTATGTAAAACCAACCACTATTTATTTTACACATGATTATCTTCTCTATCAGCATTGGCTCTAGTATAACTCAAATCAGTATATGATTGTCATTTGATTTACAGCAGATGACCTGGCATCATATGAAAATAATTTACTGTGCCATGTGCCTCACACCCTATAAATCAATAATTTGAATGCTGAGACATCTCAATTAGACTCACAGGGGTAGCAAGATCTGCCTCCTCCTTTCCTAGATCATTAAAATGGCAAGTATTAGGAAGCAGTGCTTGTTTTAAAGTTGTTTCAGAGGGGGATGATCTATTATTTTAAGTTGGAGACATAAAGTCAGAGTTGCCATCAAACCAAATGAAAAATTGAGTACAGAGTGGTATAAGTAATAGACTGTGAGGGGTGGGACATGAATCCATTCAAGTATTGATTGGTAGATTTCTATGGCACCTGTGTATTATGCATGGGATTGAACATTTGTGCAGTGTTAAATCATGACTCTGAACACAAATAAGTCATCCATTCTCCCTATCCTGTTCTTCCAAGAAGTCTCTGAACCAAAGACAAAAGAATTCATGACATTAGCTACAATAAGATAAATCATTTGGAGGTTCCACTTTGGTGTCTACCTGCAACACATCTAAAAATTAAAGGTAGCTATTATCAGTTTCATAACTGAGATACTATCTTATACATCACCGATCATGCAGTTACATAAATCCCAATGGCAAGTTAAAGACAAGACTCACACAGCTTGTTCATGAAAATTTTAGGACAACTTCTCAAACTTCATTCTGCCTGGGATAATCCTGTAAAGGGTAAATGAAACAAAAATGCTTTTCCTGACTTTGCAAATGGTGAAGTGAAAGAGAAATGAAAACAAATCACCCATCATAGGGTGCCCATTTCTGGTCCATGGAACTAAATAGATATTCATATGTAAGATCAAACCTTCACCTGCTTCATATTAACAATAAATGGAAGTTGAAAGAGTCTGATTGTGCTAAAATTAAATCTAAGATGAGCTATTTTTAATATCCTTTCAAAATCCAGTTCTGTTTTTTTTTTTTTAAGGGAAAGGAAATTATTATTATTTTGTTTTACTTCTCCTAAATGCTTTCTCTCAGTAAAGATTAAGAGCTTACTGGAGGTCTAAATTTATGTTCTCCTTCTGTCTGGCCTGTCAGAGGACATGCCTACAGATCAAAATGCTACCACATCTTACTGGAAGACCCCCATGGAAAGTCATAGGGAGGAAAAGAAGCCAAAAACTGTATGAGGTACAAATGCATTAGTATAGACGGACCAGAGGGGAAGGCCTAATTGGAATATTAGCTCCTCAAATGCAACAGAAACTTGCACAGTGCAATTTCAAGCAAATCTGTTACTGGTACAGGGAGCGATGCACCTCCTATTGCATGATGCTCAGTTCAGAACATTACCTGGAGAATTGCTGCTGCAGGCTGCGCATCTGAATTCTGTTGCGCTCAGACTCCAGTGTCACCTCCTGTAATCGCTTCTCGCTCTGAAGGCGTAAGTGTCTCTCTTCTTCCAATTCATGTATCAGCTTCTCATGCTGGTAAAAGCACAAGGGGAATGACTTTTCAGAAGATGGTTCTTAAATATTATGACAACAATAATTAGTAATAGTTGGCTGTAAAGGTTAACTTGAACTTTATATGTAATTAATATATATGCATATACATTAATGTCATCTTTATTACAACTCCGTGAGTATTATATTATTATTAATCTCTTGCTATAGACTAAGAAACCAAGACATCTAAGTAATTTGTCATTAAAAACTAGAAGTTAACACGTTTTCAATCTTGGTTGATTTCACTCTAATGCATGAATAATTTCCACTAACATAGGGGGATTCCTGGGCAGATATGAAGATGTATAACCTAATAATACTATGAAGTACATGATAATTCAAGTAATAATGAGTAAGATTGTTAATGCCTCTTCAGAATTATCTCATCTCCAATCTCTGGTATATTCTTTAAAAGGAACATTTCTGTTTTTCATAGGAGGGCCAGCATTTCCAGTTAATTAGACTAGAGATAAATAATAGAGTTAAAGATAATAGAGTTAAAGAATTATTAGATAATAACAGAGTTAAAGATAATAGAATTAAAGAATTATTATTTATTTTCTCCAATTATGTTTTCACAGATAAAGATAGGCTAAACCACCAGCTGTACTTATAATCCCAAAAAACTAGCTCATCTCACCAATAGGCATCTGGGATTAATAGAGGGTCTAGAGACCAGAGTAGAAGGTTCAGCAGAGACTGCAACTAGAGAGAAGCACACAAACTCAGAATCTCCTAATATTTCTCACCCAGCCATGTCAACACTGTTTTTGTTGCTGCCTTTGTTTTAAAGCATGTCACAATGTCATGATTATTACTGTTGCTAAATTAAGCACTTTTCTTACAATATAGTCTATTCTATAATGAAACTCAAAAATTTAATATCTGATTCTAAGAGAGGTATACTTTCGGGTATTTTTTTTTTGTTTTTCATCTACATTCTTAAAGGGAAAAAGAGGAACAGGGACCTCAGTTTTCAAATAAATCAGACACTTCGGCCCTACTTGAACTACTAAGAAATTGAATATATTGCAGAGGGCCTATTTCAGTAAGTGAGAGATAGCAAAGATAGATTTGCTTTAACCCTAACTCCTTGGGTAAAAGTTCTCCTGAGTACCATGAAAAAAACGTAAGACCATGATCTAGAAATGAATCAAGATTATCTAAAATAATTACATGTTCTTTTGTCTCTGAACCTTTGACCTTGTCTATCCTCTTGCTTAAAATGACTTCTGAGGTCTGTATTTAAAGTCTGAAGATTCCTGCCAGGCTCAGCTATTAGATATTTCCTTTAGAATTTTTCTCTTATCAGTTCACTGTACTCTTCCTTTTGTGACTGCTATCAGCACCTATTTATCACTCTTTAGGTCCTTGCTTTATTCTATCATTATTTTTCAAGCACATTAATCATAATTCTCCAAGTAGACAAACACCTGTTTGAGACTGGGACTGTGTCTAATGCACATATGTGTATTGTATTTACCTTAATACTCAGTGCATAGTAGTACCAGAAATACATTTGCTTATTGTTTCTTTTATTTTGGAATTTTTTATTTTTTATATAATTTATATCAAAAAAGATAAACTCATGCCATTCACAACAACATGGATGGAGCTGGAAGGGATTGTGCTCAGTGAAACAAGTCAGAAGGAAAAAGAAAAATATCAGATGTTTATTGTTTCTTAAGTCAGACTTTTGCTAAGCCAGGTCTTCAAATTCTATGCCGAGAAGTCCTTGATGGTGCATTTTTAACTCCCAGCAACATTCACTTCTACCAGAATTAGACAAAATCAAGTCAAATCAAACCTTTAACGACAGAAGTAGTGAAAGTAGAAAAATTAATATTACATACATTTTGTCACAATAAAAAATAAACTACTCAGTTGCTGTATGTAGTTAACATTCCCATATTTATAGCATCATTAGACTGAAAGGAACATGGATACATGACTGATATTAAGGAATTTGAAAGATTCTGTTTTGATTCCAAAATAAGCATATATATATATATATGCTTATATATACATATATATATATATGGTATATGTTAATTAGTTCACAAGTACATCCTAAGAAGGATGTAAAGTTTTGCAGAGAATATAGTATTTCTCCTTCCTTCAAAACAAAGATTGTTACACAGATTCATCAGTGCCATACTGAGGAGCTCACAAAATCTGGTAAGGGAGAAGCTTTCCTGAATAATCCTCTCTGTTCAGTCTCTCAGTGCCTTTCATGTATGGATAAAATGACACCCTTACAGTATAGTGGAAGTCTTGGGGAATTCTAATACTAGTGAAGGCAAAAATTGTTTACTAAAATATATTCCCTTCAAATGGTATGTGCATCAATTAAATAAGCAGTTTGACTGCTAAGTCACACCTGTTTTTCATAAATGGAAAGTTTCCTTCTGAAATTAAAAAACACGGCTAAAAGTACCAAGAGTGTATAACAATAGATAGGCCAGAAATACTTTATTACTTGTGTCATGGGTGTAAACTGATTTGTCTAAAAAAGTAATTTTGATTTTCTCCCACAAGTTTGCTCTGAATCTTTCACAGCAAGGAGAGTAGAAGGGAATAAGAGATGGAAAAGTGTGGATATTATTTATATGGCACAAGTAGCTACTGAAGAACAATAAGTAAAGGCAATGTCATAGAAATCTGATGAGGCCTCACTTCTTTGACAACATCTCTCCTTCCATGGAACCACTGGGCTGGGTTGATTTTAACAAACCATCTTCAGAAAGTACTAATAGTGCTTTTCAAAACTCATTGAGCCAAATATTTCCATGTCTTCCCATTTCATTTAGCAAGATCACCTCTTCCCTTTCTCCTCATTGCTTTTCTTGCCATTATACTCAAATCACTGTACCAGGATTACAATATAAAACTGAATTTAAGAAGCCACATATATGTTCACTGGAAACTACCAGCCACATGCTCTTATGCTCTTCTTTTCCTACAGGAAAAAGGCTCTATCACTTCAAAAGGCTGGTTCACATATTTTTCTCAACAAAAGCAGACCCTGAGTAGGGGAACTTTCAATCCTGTGATCTTTGGCTGTTACCTCTAGCTGAAAGAAAATTAATTCTCTGAGAAAATTTTTAATTTAGAGACATTCACATTTTCTAAAATGTTTCTGCCTTCATTGCTGCATTTCAACAAATTCCAATGTTATCAACTTCATTTAGAGACAAAGAAAGTGGGATAAATGAAGGAAGGAGTTTGCCCAGGTTGCTCTGTTAGAAATGAAAGCTTTGGGACCATATCAAGTTTTTCTGACTATAAGTCTTTTTTCCTGACTAAGTCTACTATAGTCAGTTATGCTCCAACACATTTTAAAACTGCAAAATTATTACAATGTAATTGATTTATTAGAAGTCAATATGATCTTATCACAAATCTCACATTTGCTCATGCCTGATTTCATTCATGAGATAGATGAAGTGAGCACAGAAAGTTGCGCCCCATAGAACTTAGTGCAGAAATACATAAAAGGAATCTCAGGTGGGCAAAGTGCCTGGGTGTTATAAGCCACCTCATCTGCATTTGTTGGTAAAACTTTCCCTTTGATTTCAGAGGGAAATCTGAAATTTCTCTCTTCCATCACTTTACAATAATTTATAAGCTACAACCTTTCCAGTGACCTTCCAAGGATGCTGCCATAGTAAGCTGTATGCTTTATTCAAGGGAACATGCCATATCTTTATTCTATTATGTATATCTTAAGCATTTATCACATGTAAAACTTAGCTGCTGTTTTTACTAGATTCCTATCTTCTTATGTGTCACCAACAGTTTTTGAGTATTGTGCTGTCAGTTTTTTTCCCAAATGTTTGTACAGCACTTACGAACACTATGCCATATTATATTATAACAAACTTCTTAAAGGTGGAAAAAACGAAATCAGAATCAAAAGGAGAATTCCTAAGCCCTTTCCCTATTCATGCAAAAGAACAAAGAGTTGGGCCCTCAACAAAGTACTAAACAAAAAAAAAAAAAGAGAGAGAGAAAGGCATACTAAATACATGTCTTTGCCTATCAAATCATCTTGTCTCTGTCTAGAGCCTTCCATAGACCTTAAATTACATAAACCTAATTTATTATTCTCTGACTACTCCTCCAAGCATGGAGATTCCACATTTTTCCAGAGTATTCAATTTTATTTTTTATAATCACCTATATTGATAACTTTCTAAGACTTGCTTAAATCATTCATCATCAAGACAATTGCTATTTGTACATTCACCAGAAATAGAGAAAAAATCTATAGTTTTTGACATTATTTCCCTATTTAATAGAGAACGCTGCTAGAAAATGGAACTATGTTCACACCTACATGGATTTTGCATGCAAGCTGTGAGTGAGCGGCTACTATGTGACAGACGCTGGATCTGTGCATGAGACAAGCAATGGACCAAATAGACATGCTTCCTGATTGTATTAGACTTGCAAGCTAATGGAGAAGGAAGTAGCTAAATGAACTATCACACAGATAAATATATCAGTACAAACTGACAGATAATTAAGACATTGCTGAAAGACGACAGTAAGAGGAAAGGATTTTGTTCCGTTAGTTATAGGAAACCTCTAAAAATGAAAGTTTAAACTGAAGAATGACCAGATGAAGAGAAGTGCTCAACTATCCATGGAACATCTTCAGTCACATATGGGTAAAGGAAGGACAGTGCAGAGTGCCTAGAGCCTGGTGAGCCCAGGGACAGGTGTGGCATAGGATCAGGTGGGGCGGAGTGAGCACTAAACTAGTAAGCAACAGAAGTACATACTAAAGGTGTGGAAATACATCTTGAGCAAAACAGTAACTTGTTACCAAGGTTTAACAAAGGAGTGATAGGGACTGATAAAAATTTTGCAAAGATCATTTGACTATTGCACCCACCACCGAATCACCCATAGTCCACCACCATGGTCTATTGTGCCTCCTTCCTTCTTGCTTCTCATCTCTCCCAACCTCTTCC